TGTAAAAATGGGGGATATAGATGCAGGCAGCTGCATGCAAAAACATAAGACAGCTTGAACATATACTGGACATGGCTGGAGGAAAAAAACTGCATAAAATGTTGATTTTGCAAAGTGAGCTCTTATAGTTTTGAAACAAGTGCACCAAAGCATCTTCATGCAGGCTATGTTGACAAATTTTAGCTTAGTGTAAAATATTTTTTTGTTACTTTTACTGTTTTCTTACATTTCATTTCACTTTTATTTCAGGTAATTAAAACGATTCTCTCACGTTTAGCTTTAGTTTTCTAGTTTCATGTTATTTAACTATTATAACCTTGGTGTGGAGTCTGCATGGTCTCCACAGTCCACAGACACGCTTCCTGGTTAACTGATAATGCAAATTTGGGTATAGGAGTCAGTGGGAGATCGTGTCGTTGTCGTGTCTGTCTCCAGTCTGTATCCTCTCTGTACCCACTTTCACTCCATTTCTGCATCTGTGCAGCGTCTCCGCCACATAAAGTGCTGTTTAACCCATTAGCCTGGTGTTGGGAGTGAAAGTGGGGTATAAGCAGTCTTTGGTGTAACATTTCCCAAACTGTAATCACATTAAGTCTAACACATCTAGGTTCTAAATTCAAGAACCACACTAAAGTTCCACGTCCAACACTTACATGCATTCTTTAATTATTTGCACAATAGGTGGATGGAACAAAACAATAAAATAAAAGCTCAGTGTGGAAGAAACAAACATACAAAACTAGATTTTCACCATCACTCTGAGACAGGATGTTTCTAATTTTAGCAACGTTGAGCAGATGGAAGAAAGCGGTCCTACATATTTGTTTAATGCGTGTGTTGATGGACGTATCCTGGACTCCAAGATTCCTCACAGTGTTACTGGAGGCCAAGGTAATGCCATCCAGACACCATGTTTGTAGGATTTTAAAAGCCACATACAAAAACCTCAGTTTGTCTGAATTTAGAAATAGAAAAGTAGAGGAAAATTGGAAAAATAGGAATTAGAGGCCTCTGTGACTGGTAAGACGTGCAGCTTTTTCCCCCAAATAACATTACCCAAGGGAAGCATGTTTACTGTAAACAGCAGTGGTCCCAGCACTGAACCCTGTGGAACTCCAAGGCTAACCTTTGTGTGAAGAAGACTCCCTCTATCCCTGTATCCAGTTGAATCTATCAGGACACAATTCATTATTATACCAATAAATGTACATTAAGGTTTCTTATTTTATGAGTATTTCTTTCATTACAACTGATAACTGGCTTTAGAATTTGATTGGCATGTTAAATCACTGGAAAATATACAAAACTTTTATTTTTTTTTCCCATTTTTCCTTTAAAAGCGTCATCACTTGAGCTGAATGGATTCCATTTTATGAACTGATAACTGTTATCCCATCATCGGACATTGCTCTGGGAGGCTTCTCTCCTGTCAGGAATCTTTTACTTGTCCATGAAGATGCAGATCTCAGGATTGAGCATGTCTCTGAAGTGCAGCTTCTCCTTGGTCGGGCACATGTGTTACTGGCAGTGATGGGAATAACAGCGTTACAAGTAACGGCGTTACTTTTTTCAGTAACGAGTAATCTAACTAATTACTGTTTCTATCGTTACAACGCCCTTTCCGTTACTAACAAGAAAATGCGGTGCGGTCGCGTTACTATTTTTCAGCAAACAGACGGTTGAAGCTGTCTTCAGTTTACCGCAATCACTTTCTGTCAATGATCACTTTTTCCCACAACACCAGGAGCAAAGGGGGTAAAACAATCGCATGAGTGCTGCTGTTTGACTGAGGAAGAATAAAGTAGTCGTGGTGAGCCAATCACATGACCACTTTAAGATGACAAAGCAACAAGGTGATATATACCAGTTTCTAAATTGTGTTGATAGGCCACTAAAACCAGAGTCATGATAAACAAGATATACGCGGCGTTTTTTCCTCAATAGTTTCGTGTATGTAACGTCTAAGGACAGCGCAGCGAGACCTCTCTGCTTATGAGCAAAAAATAATAAAGCAAAACGAAAAACAGCCCGTTGGTGTTGGTGGAAAAATGCACCATGTCGACCAATCAAAAAATGATATGGCAACATGACATTTGGTTGCTTAGGAAGAGGGGAAGTTTTAAGAGTGATGGGGAGAGAGAGAGAGAGTTTTGAGATGTGAGAGATTTGTGACGATTAGCGTGTTTGGAGTGTGTAGTTAATGTGTTGTTTTGTGTAGTTAGTGTGTAGTGTTGCGGATAGTTTTGTGTTGTGTGTCAGAACAATGAGGCGACTGCTGTCTCCAGGTAGAAACAGGAGTGATACACCTGCTGCTGTCAGACCTGCAGGTATCAGGCTGTGATGTTTCCTTTATAGTGGACAGAAATTATGTTTTTGGAGTGGCACAAATAATTTGTGTGACATCTTATTTAATGCAGAACTGCTTAAAAAAGAAAAAAGAGGGTAAAAGGTAAATGGCTGCAAATAACTTTGTGTGCGTATGATTTTAAAATTGACAATTTATATTTGCATTTAAAGTTATGAAATATGATTCAATAAACATGTTTGTGGTTGTTACAGTAAAAAAATATAACTTTTTCTACTCGGATTTTATGTTTTTTGTCTGATTTTAGATCAATTGTGTTAATACAGTATGTCAAAATGAAAACATAACTGTAAATTCAGACACGTGAGGTTGTGCTGAGAAGGATGAGACCAAACAAGGCAAAGGAAATAGTTTTTAAAGGTGAAATATAGAGGTGCAATTCAAAAGTAGTTAAAAATGGCCAATTATACCCTGGACCCCAGAGGGTTAAACATTTTTTTAAAGTAATGCAATAGTTACTTTTCAAGTAATTAATTACTTTTAGAATCTTGTAACTCAGTTACTAACTCAGTTACTTTTTTTGAAGAAATAACTAGTAACTATAATTAATTGCGTTTTCAAAGTAACTTGCCCAACACTGGTTACTGGGGGTTTAATCCACTGCGGTATCTCCTGTTAGTCTCCCTACGTACACCTTTATCACACTGACACTAATATCTAAGTTTAATTTATCAGTAAAGAAGACTTTTCTTCACCATCCACCATGAAATGCTGTGAAATTTGTTTGTTTTCTCCTCAGAAGTGGTTTAGAAGCAATCCTCTGAGACCTCACGGACACATCCTCCTTTCATTTTCACTGACATCATTTTGTAAAGATGGCGTGCTCACCGTTGATCATCATCCTGCTCTGGATCTAAACCCTAAAACTTTCCTTATTTCCATGTTTACATACATGGACTCGGCTGTATGCCTTTAAGCTGTTAGTTCAGCAGAGATGTTGCAGATAGCAAAGTGCATGTCGAGCATTTTGATTTATTTTTAATGCCCTGTTCTGCATTCTTCGCCACATTAAAGTTTGATTCTTTATGTAATGTTAGGATAGCCAACAGCTGGAGCAGAGCTGCACAGATGTGTCAATTTGGTGCTTCCTCCTTCTCCTCCACCTCTACCCTTTATCTCCCACAATTCATACATTGAAGGGGAATTTCATGATTTTCCAAAACTAAATCCTCTGGGCGGGTGGAGCAACAGTGCACAATGTGGGGGCTCCCACTGTGGCTACATCTGCACATTCTTCAAGAAAGCAGCAACACCAATGAATTCATTTCATACTTCACAGAGCTCAGCAGAAGCACTATGGCCTTTCCACCCTGCCAACCACAAGTCTGGCAAAAGACGAAGATTGGAAAAGAATTAAAAAGCACAAACGTCCTCGGGGCCTGGCCGAACTCCTCGCTTAGCCTCACCTTCACCACACCACACAGCAGCAGCCACAGCAGCACTGAGGTGTGCGTGTCAGCGGCGCAATCTTCCTCCCACCCTCCGTATCTTTTACCATCTTGCACCGGGAGAAGAAGAAGAAGGAGAGGAATAAGAAGGGAAGCGCGGGAATGATTAATGCGTCGAGTGCTCCACTTGCGGAGCCACAACACCAAGCTTAAATTGGCAGAACTTCATTAGGCGCATCATAAATAATCAACTTTAATTGATATTCCAGTGCGCTGATTAAGAGTTAACATGAACACAACGGGACAGGGTAGATGCATTAAACACGTCGCCTCTTGTTCTCGCTGCTTTTGCGTGAAACACAGTGGAGGAAGGGCCGATGATGCACAAATCACGAGCGTATGAATATTCACGAGGACCTTCTGTCCACAGAAAGTGATAAATACTTCTCACTTTAGCTGAGTCACACAGACAAAAACAGAGGAGGAGGAACATGCAGGCACCAAGTCGAGGCGTGCAGATGTTCTGCTGCTGCAAATCATTTCAGCAAAAAGAAATCAAACCACATCCAGTGAACCATATTATGTATGCAGACTGTTTATTGTGTGCAAGCTGATATCACATAAAATACCTGTAAAAGTATTGTCATGATTTGCAGAACAAAAGGAGGCGTCTCAGATTTCCCTGTTTTGAAGTGTTTCGTAAGGATGCGCAAGTTTCCAAAGACTTCAAGTATGATACTTGTAATGAGAATTTTACTGAAGAGACTGGGGTGGTTCAGCGCTTTGTAGCTGCAGAAGTTAAAGCAGTTTTAATCATTTTATTTCCAGGCTGTTCTTTAATTGTGAGGTTATCCAGTTTAATTGAGATTTGGTGCCACATGTTACCAAACTGAGCCGTAGAGACGCTGCACACGTTTATGTAGGAAGGTGACTTTCTTCCTGTGCTTTTATTTTATGCCACTCTTCTTCTAACATCTCCACCGCAGAGTCTGTAATGAGGAATGGCTGGCTGATTGATAACCATTTGCAGTAACCTGGAGAGGTGCAGGCGGGCTTGTATACCCTGGGGCTCGCTGCCCTCATTTCCCTGTCTGCAGCTGAAACACCTGAACACGCAGGATCCTCTGCATTCCTCAGCCATGAATAGTTTCCCATAGTTGAAGCGCACACGAGTGCGCATTATAGGGCACTGTAGCGCATGGGTGATGACGTTTGGGTACAGTAGCTAAGTTAGAGGAATATTAACAACATGGAGCAATTCGACATTTGAACATTACAGTTATTTCTACTTCTCTGTTTCTTGTATCATTATTAGTTATTAGCAGGTTTCACTTCTCTACTCATTCACCCCTCGTTTCCTGATTGTCTACCAAATTGAATGCAGCCATCAATAAAGTGTCTGCTTTGTAAAAACACACAATATTTACAACACTGTACATTTCTACAGTTTCCGCGATGCCGTGTTTAAATTCTGTGTTAGATGGAGAAAGGGGGAGGAAATAAAAGGCAAACACGTGGAGGAAGTAAAAGAGAAAGCTGTATCGCTGAGGGCGAATTCCGCAAACGCTGATTTCTCACCTGAATTTTCCGCTAAGGAGGAAAACCCTTTAACGACCAGGAGCAAACCGCCGAACAAGCAGATCTGGATTAAAACCAGCTCCTTTCGCCGTTTCCGCCGCGCTTTCACCTTCTTCTGATTCGGCATCACTTGCTTCGCCCGATTCCGGAGTCGGATACCCGGCAGAGACGTCCCCGCTTCCGCTGCTGCCACATCCATGCGCATCCAAGAAGTACCAAAAAAGAAGCGAAAAGGAAAAGAAGAAAACCCAACGACCTCCTTTAATTCCCGGGGAACTGACTTCTCTCCCGGAGACGGGTAAAGAAGTGAGAGAGGAAGCGGGCAGAAAGTTAAGATTGGCACCGCTAATGGGATGCTGAGAAAAAGAAAAAGAAAGGAAAGAAAGAAACGGACCAAAAGGCTTCGAGCTGCTGCTTAGAAAAGCCGGTCTGTCTTTTTATGTCATGTTGGAATGTGGTTTTGGAAGTGGTAACGCTGAGGAAGGCTGCACAGGATCTCCATGGATGCGTCTGTCTGCTGAGAGGAGGAGGAGGAGGAAGAGGAGGGGGCGCAGTGACGGCACTGACACTCGGTCCAAAATCAGCTTTTATCCTGATGCTGTGAAAAACATACGAAAAAGAAAAAATAACCTTTTTTTATGAGCACACATGACATATTTGTGAGTAAACTGGATCCTTAACGCATTCTTTTTGTTTCAAATGTGTTCAATATCAAAGATGTCACAGTTACCATGAATTCAGCAGCTGACATCAGGACATCCGGACACGCCCACTGTAAAAGTTACGCCCACGAGATGGATGCACATCTGTCCAGGAGCCGACACACACTGCAGGTGTGTATCCTGCAGTCTGAACTAATGATCTAAGTGGAAAACAGGCCGTGGCCACCAAGGCTGCAGGTCCTCTGGTGGCCACATGAGGCCGGCTGAAAGTGAGTGGGTCCCCACAGACTCGCGTGTTAAATCCCCAACTTTACCACAGAATTCATCACCTGTTTTAAAGGTGAGGGGATTTTTTTGGCATCTATAGTAACTCTACAGGGATTCATATTTTATACCTCACCCCTGGATACAAGGATGCTAGCTAACATTCAGTTTGGCTCCTCCCCCTGCAACCCAACTGTCTTCTGATTGGCTGCCCCTCATAAAAAGAAGACAGCGCAAAATTGACCCAAATTTCACCCTCTGAGCCACACATTTATTTTAACTTTGGACATGTTTACCACGTTTAACATGTACAGATACAGTACATACATGTACAGTGTTGCAACAGTGAATATGTGACAGAAACAAGGAAAGGCAAATCCATCCTCTTTTATTATAAACCTTTATTAAAGTGTGAATCAAAGAGCAACCATGCACTGTATTTGTGTATTTGTGTCTCCTGATAAGCTGCAGATGTTTGCTGGCTTCAGTTGTGCCCTCTCCTGGGATTGTGTTTTAATAAGACCACATTAAACAGCTTATACTCACAGAAAATTGAACAATAATAGTAGTATAGAGTTCTTAAGTTGTAGTTTTCACTAAAACCACTCACTCACACAGAGCCAAACACTTTGGCTACGCCTTCAAGGCTTCTGTAAATAATACCGGTATTAATCTTACTTTAAAATATGATGATATTATAGTCAAAACTAAACATCGGCCCCTGTGAACATGGATTTGAAAAGAATAAAAAACAGTTCGGTTCTCTTCACATATCTGGTCTTTTACTACACATCATCTATCAGACCCGGGGCAGATTAGATGTGCTGTAATATTTTCTTTGGTTATACAACAGTCGTTAGGTCATGTGGATTGATTTCTCCGGTGCCTGCTTGTACATGTTGCCTACTTGTTCGCTGCAGATTGTTCTGTGTCCACAGAGATGATACGGACCACCGATTCCAGCATGTCTCTGCCATTTCTGATGGTTTTTTAATGCAGCACTCTTTGAGCGAAGCTGAACTTCGGGATAATGGATAATACTCGATCCCGGCCAAGTGGGTTTCTTGATTGTGGGGCCTGAGGTTTCATATAAATAGCACTGGAAACTTTCCAGCAAGAATGGAAAAAAGTGGTCAGGGCTCTAGGCAACTGGTTTCATGGTGCCTTATTAACCCTTTAGAGCAAAGAGCCCAGAGTGATCTAAGGGCAACCAGGATACGAGCGACACTTCTACATCGGCTTCTGATGTGTCCTGGAAAACGTTCTTCTAAATCAGTTGGGAATTGTTTACTCTCTCGTGTCGTGATGATGCCGACATGATTCGAGGCCTTTAAGCTGCCATGAAACCGGGCCTGTCTAACCTCCGAAACTACATCAGACTCGGCACGGAGTTACTAAACAAGCTGAATTCCCCCAACCTCCCAGACGTAAGAAATAACTGTGGGGAAGGAGGGAAGAGGAAGGAGGAGGAGTGGGTGGGGAGAAGGAGGAGGGGGGCAACAAATTAAATCCAGTTAAATTGTTTTTCCATAGCCAGTAGGCTTGGCAAAGGACTCGCTCACACACACAAGATGTAAGATAAGTTGTAGAAAAGACAAACCAGAAACAGTGGGGCTTCAGATGTAGGAGAATGCCTGGAATTTAACCCAGTTTCCCATGTCCGCCTCACACCGCACCCACTGCCCTGCCCAGCAGCTCAGGACGTCCACATCCACACACGCAAACAGGTGATTCCCCACAGCGAGACATCTGTCCTGCACCAGCCCTCCCCTGGTCAATAACCCACACAGCCTACCTCCTCCTTCCTCTGGCATTGGGACCACAATGCAGTCACTGCAGAGGAAAGCTGCAGTTCTAGCACAGTTTGAAACACCAAGGCTAGGTAGCTAGCTAGCAGACATATCTGGGTCATGTCTTCCCTCTCAGATAGCTCCCATATCCAGGATGCAGCAGCTCCTCTTCCTCTCCACCGCAATCTCAAATCAGAAGGAAAGGGATGAGAGGGTTATAGCGTGGTTGGCCAAGAATAGCCAACCAAAAAAAGAGGAAAGCTAAAGTTGGGACAGCACAGCGGCCAGGTGGTGATGCTGAAAGTAGAAATAAGGCCAAGCATCCCTGCTGTTTGCATTATAATGAGCAGAATCCAACACAAACAGAGAGACGCTTCTTTCATACACCTTTATAAAAACGACAACAAAACGTACATTCAGATCTGTCGAGTGACAGCAGGACAGCGTCACAATGAGAAACATGATTAAATAGCTGATGTCAGAGTTTGTCCGGTCACACTGATAGTGAGGTGCAGCTGGCCCCTCGTCGCAGGTGTGAAGCACAGGTGAACGGGGCAGTCGCAGAAACTCGATCCGGGTCTTACAATCGACTGCAGCACCTTTTCTAGAGTCATTTCCACTGAGTGGGTCAATAAATTGAGGAACACACTGAGACGCAGGTCACGTTTTAGCATTTAAAGTCCAACTGAAATCACATCTCCGTCTGCTGTAGTGATTTTAAAGTGTAAAGCTATTCTTATTTCTGTTAATGAAGAGACAATAATGATTTGGGGCATCAAAACCACCCTGGCAGCCTCTGAGTTAGTTGGTTACCGTTCATGTGTCAGTGAAAGCTGAGTCAGTGCAAGCAGAAATGTGCGCCGCTAAATGAGCTACATGATACACAGCCATCTTTATGCTACGTCACTAAGTTGCTAGCAGACAGTAGTTAGCCCAGACTCGGCTGGTTAGCCAAACTAATGTTGTTAGCAATGCACTTTTACCCAGTGGATGTTTGTTAGCTAACTTAGCAAGTCGGCGTGCAGCATCATGCTTACATGTAGCTGGAGATTTAATGCAGGCTGTTGTTTGAAGCTTTTGTGGGGTGTTGCTGCAGACGGCCGTCTACTTATTAGTGACGTAGCTTCTGATTCCAGAAAGTGAAGACCATGCAAAAGGCCAGCAGGGGGCGACTCAACTAGCTGCTAAAAAAAAAAAGCAGTCCATTTGTACAGAAATCAGTGTGGGAAAAATTCATCAGTGATCTCAAATTAAAAAAAAGAAGGAAAAGTAAATACTGGTGATGTGTTTATGTGCCCTGCTGATATTTTTCGGTCTTCTTCACTAAAACATGATGTTTATTTTGCAAATTTACAGCCAGAATTAGGAGAAAGCAGGATCCAGGTGCACATTTAGTTTCAAATTAAGAAGGTAAGGCCAAAAAGACTGAGCTTGAGGACTTCACTAACCAATGGCTGACTTTACAGAAGTTTAATCTCAAGTCTTTGCATATGAAACGTAAACTTGTCCAGCTACAAACAACAGTGCCATTTCTTTTACAGAGCAGACGGTGGTAGCAACTTCAGTTTGACCTTAAACAAAATCTGCTACTCAAAAAGGTAAAATAACCTCTTAGACCTCAAAAATTTATATAACAAGCTTGGTACATTCTCACTACCATGATGTTCCTGCAGTGTAAACTTGGAGCTGAGCTGTGCTTCAGGGTCAGAGTCGTGTCTCTAAACAGAGACTAAGTCAGAACAGACAGAGAGAAAGCAAAAGACAAAGAGACAGATGGTGGCAGAAACATGAAAAGATGGAAAGAAAGGGAGCGAGGGGAAAAGGAAAGCCGAGCACATAAAGCTACTGGGCTGCACGGTTTTACGATGTTGCCATCACCCACGCCTCCCCTCCCCTCACAAATCTAAGAAAACTGTGCAGTGTCATGTGGCCAGACATCATCTTTGCTACATGTAGCCGGTCCTATCTGAGTGTGGAGGGGAGAGGCTGAACAGGCTGAACGAATCCTGCTGATTTCCAAACAGGAAGGACAGTCCAGGATCAGGTGAAAGAGTCGCTGAGGTTTAAGGCCTTCCTGAGGAAACTGGGCTCACCGTCATGTCCCCAGTACGACATCTGCAAGACACGAAACAGCAGTAGTTTAGCCTCTTTTTGTTCATACTCTCTCAGTCGTTACACAGTCATTCACATCATTACAGAAGATCAACCAAACGTGGAAAAATCTTCCCACGTGACCCCCACAGGATGAGCTGATCTTTGTTGCATAGCAACTTTAGCAAATGTAATTAAGCCCTGCGAAATTAGACCCTGAAACCATCAACACTATCAGGGTTACAGCACCTTTGTGTTTATAGGAGTCAAAATGTAGCGCTTTGGTATTTTCTTAAGCCTTTTTGAACCCTTAAAGCATATTTATTGGGCAGAAAATATCCATGTGAAAGTTCAGGATGAAAAACACATTTAAGCTCTGTTAAGAACTACAATGAAATCAATTTCACCCCCGGTTCAGCTTCATATTTATCCCTCTCGCTCATGTCTGAGGTAGGCTTGGTTAGCATTTGGGAATCAAACCCACAACTCCCGTTCCAAAGGTGTGTAAGTCTTACTACCACGCTAACCAGCTGCCTTCTCAGACAGGACACACATGGAACGCCATAACCAAGTGGCCGGCATAGCATACAGAACATCTGTGCTGAGTATGGCCTGGAAGTCCCGAGGTCAAAATGGGAGACGCTGCCTAGGGTGGTGGAGAGTGACCGAGCTAAGATCTTGTGGGACTTCCAGATACAGACGATGGTAGACAAACAGAAGAAGACGGCCGTAGTGATCGATGTAGCGGTTCCCAATGACAGCAACATCAGAAAGAAGGAGCACGAGAATCACCAAGGGCTCAGAGAAGAGCTCGAGAAGATGTGGAGGGTGAAGGTGACAGTGGTCCCAGTGGTAATCGGACCACTCGGTGCAGTGACTCCCAAACTAGGCGAGTGGCTCCAGCAGATCCCAGGAACAACATCAGAGATCTCTGTCCAGAAGAGCGCAGTCCTGGGAGCAGCTAAGATACTGCAGGACCCTCAAGCTCCCAGGCCTCTGGTAGAGGACGCGAGCTCGGAGAATAGAAGCTCGCAGGTGTTTTTGTTTTCTTTTAATAATATATTTATTATCAGAAAACAGATGAAACATACCTGTGAATATTCCATGAGATTCTTATGATATGCTCATAGTTGGTTTATCTACTAGGAATTTTGTTGGGTCAAGTCTCGTTTTTAGATACACAGCTCCAGCCAAGATGACTAAAATCAAGAAATGATGACATCGGGTTTTGATACGTCAAGAAAAATAAAATAAAATAACAATGTAGGGCATAAAAAAGACAATGGTTTAATCCTGAGCTCCATCCTGCTCAGACAGCAGACACATACGGACCTAATCTGCACAGATTATGGTATTTATGGACTGGGACACTCCAAAGATCACAATCTAAAGACCAAATTGGTATAAAACAAGAATAATATTTTCTAAAAGATGGAAAATGTAGTTAAAAACAAAACTGATCTATGGTTTGAGTGGGGGACCTATATACTAAAAGCCACTGCAGGGGTGTGGTGTCCTACCACTCTCTCTCTGCTTTCATGTCTGCTCAGATTAAGACTAAAAATCTTACCGATAAATCTTAAAAAACCAACTAACAATAAAACCAAGACTATATCGACAACAATATCTTTACGGACTAAAATAAGCTACTCAAACCTAAGCATGGACACTTTCTCCCCCCCCCACAGACTTTGGCCTTATTTGTTAATTTCCCATTTTATTCCTGTTAAAATGAAAAGAAGTAAAAATTCTTGGAGGTTTAAAGTGCAGCTTCTATTTTAGGTGAACAGACAAATTCAAAAGTCTGCATCTTATTAAAAGATCTGCACAAAAACGCTGACTGTAGCAATAAAAGCTAAATTTAAAGATGCCGTTACGTGTGGTGTGAACATCTCCGACAGTCCTGAGAACAGCTACAGCTGGAAACTCTTCACAGCAGCTGAAACCTTCCTGTACTGATAACTTAACATAACTCTATTTTGAAATTAGAGCGTTGCAGACAGGAAGGACGAGCAGAGAAGATAATGGAGGGGCTGTCGCAAATTATTCGATGGAAGGCGAGCGCGGCTCATGTTTAAGACGCGCAAAGCAAACCTCGGGAGCACCGGTTCTCTCTATAAAACATGCAGCTACAGAGCTAAGCAAGCAAGGCCGCTGTCCTTTTTCCTCTTTCTTCCACCCATCCCTCTCTTTCACTACAGCACACACTCTTCCCGAGGTGCTGCGTGTGCACTCTCTCACTCCAAAATCCAAATAACTGTCACCTTATCGGAAAAAAAACAAAAAAAACACTCCCTTTCTCACATTTCCCCCTCATCCCTGGCTTCTGGTCAGACCTTATGTAACAAGGTGCTGAAGCCTCCAAAACTTGAGGATTACACTGCATCCTCCCCTGCTGTGGAGGAGTTCAGGGAGGACATAATAATAACATTGTACCTGCTGATGGTTTGATGGAGGTTTTAAGCCATTAGAAGCTAACAGCAGCTATCAGGTGATTGGATGAGGATCACTCGAGTTTTTTTTAATACAAGATATGAAAATGCTGATTTAGTCAATAAAAGTCTAAAACTTTGGGATCAGGTTTTCCGCTTCTGGCTCAGAGTGTTTGGCGCGTCATAATCTCCTGCTCAAAAGTGACCGAGTGCCGCCTACTCCGACTCTACCGATTACTTCTATACCACATATTTCCTCAATAGATTCCACATTTAGTGTCCACTTCATTAGACACACCTTTGTAGTACAGGGTTGTTTACCTTGTTTACCTTTAAACCTGCCTTAACTCAACATGACACAGATTCAACAAACTGCTGGAAGCTTTCCTCAGAGATTTTGTCCACATCAACACGACAGCATCACACAGTAGCTCCAGATTTGTCAAATGAACACCCAAAGGTGCTCTACGGCAGCGGTCTCCAACCTTTTTTGCGCCACGGACCGGTTTATGCCCGACAATATTTTCACGGACCGGCCTTCAAGGTGTCGCGGAAAAATACAACAAAATAAAACTAGTACTGGTACCAAAAAAAAGAAGATTTATTCATAACACACGTGAAAAGACCCAGGAAAACCGAGTAAACGATAAAAACGATAACAAAATAACGCTGAAAACCGATAAAAACCCTGAAAACTA